AATTTCTCCATCACCTCTGAGACTATTGGTGATTTTGTTGCTGTTGTTGCTTTTTGTTTGGTTGGTTTGGTTTTCCTGTTTGGTTTTCCTCTTTGGTTTGGCGGGGGGATGTTGTTTTAATTTCTTTTTTTTTTAATCTGTCCTTTTTCAAATCTACTGTAACCTAAAGTAGAAGCAACTGAGAGTTTGTTACATGGTAATTATACTATAATTATAGGTCTGATTTTTAAGTCAGTTGAGAGTTTTAGAGAAAGCAAGTTTTAACCTCTCACCTAAGAAGATCAACAGGAGATACAATTTGCCTTTGAAGTAGAGTTATTAACTTCGAAGCCCGAAGTTGGTGGTACACACTTGTCCAAACACAGGCAACATCCAACTGCTGAACACCAAATAGAAATTCCCTGTTTCTTCATACATGAAGGACTTGGGTTTATTTACACTCCTACCTATTCTAAATGTGGAAACAGTAACAAAAAACCCCACTGTTGAGGAAAATTACCTTGTGGAAAAATGGCTTTTAAAAAAACCAATACATCATGCCTTGAGAACTTCATCTATGTGAATACAGAAATGTCTTTAAACTGTTTCAGATTGTCTGATTTGATTAAAAATAAATCTAAACTGTAGTGTAAATAGCACAAGGAAGGGAGAGGTCGCAATGAAAATTAGGTTTTGGTTCTCTCTGCTTTTGCATGGTGACTGGTAGAAGAGAGAGACTGAGCCAGCTTCAGGAAACAAAGTTCTCATCTACCAAGATCTTTGAAAGGCCAAACCCTTTGTATTTATCTAATCTACACTATCTGTCATTATTGTGCTTTTGTTGCTATCCATCAATATTAGCTGATATGTATGTCAGTGAAAACACATAAGAAAAATTTCTAAGCACAAACCATTCCTAAAAACAAACAAAACCAAAAAAAAGTATAGACTTTTGGGGGTAGAATACATTCTAAATTACATGCCATAAGTATACATTATGCAATTGTATCAGGTTCAGTTTTCACAATCCACTGTGAAATGCAAGAGAACATGATCTTCTTGTGTGCCTGGAGAATACAATAGACTTTACAGTTCTGTCAAGGGTGCAGAGGAATGTTCTCTTCCTCAGAGCAGGAAATTAGCAGACATCAAAATACACGACTTTTCATTATAGGAAAAAAAGAATTAAAGAGATTAGAGAGAATATATGCACTTTGCCATGTAGTTCCAAAAGGATATTACTGCTGTTACATTTATGGAATGGATGGATCTTTAGCTTTAAGCAAGTTGTGCAATTTCAGGATCGCTGTATAAAAGAATGCCATATGTAATCAATCAGAGTTCCAGAAATAGGTTGCTTACAGCATTCATCCATTAACTCATTTCCTTGAAAAGTAAAAGGATCATAAATAGAAGAAAATCCAGACATCAAATCTCATGTGCTGTCTTAAAAAAAGGTGGGAGAGGGGTTATAAAATAAGCTCTAGGGTATGCCAAAGCATGAGAAATTTGCTAAGATTCATCAAATCATGTGAAAGCAATGATAAAAACACATGCCAAAATGGAAAATGAAGAAAGAACAATAAAAGTATATTAAAAATGCATTCAATTTTACAATCTTTATTCAAGGTTAAATAACTCCTTTTTTACAGAAACAAGTTGAGGCATTTACCTGTTTCTTTCAAATAGACTAAGATAAAAATTGCCTCTTTTTTTTTGTTTTTAGATTGTGTGTGATAAGTTTTGTGGGGCAATAACTCCCTTATGCCCACTGCAAAACAAACCTTGAATTTCTGTATAAAGGCAGACATTACATGGAGAGTATTGCACTTGACATCTGAGTCTCGTATCGCAGACTCATTACCCACTAGTTATATTACAAAACAAAGTTGAATGCAATCTGGACATATACAATACAGGTTAACATGCAACTTTTATAAATCAAATGAAAAATTATCCATTTAACGTACATTACTGAAATTACCATTCTACAGGGTGTAAAAGATACACAAATACCATAAAATTGCTAATGATTATTCTTTTATTCAGTTTAACTCTTCAGTGAATAGAAGTATTACTATTAAAAAAAATGTTTTGGCCACTCTCAAGGTCCAGCCTCAGGTCAAAACAATATTCATGAAAACAGCAGAAAGACTTTTTCATCCCACTCACCACACACAAACCCACTCATAATTTGGTGGAGAAAAAAAAAGAAAAAGATGAAATTTGGTACAAATGCTACACAATAAAAATAATATAGTTAAAAAAAAGATGAACACCACTCTTGTTTCTAGGGTGAATGCCAAGTGAGATCTTGAAAGTTCTTGAAATCTGGGAGTTTAGTCAAAATTCATTATATAAATTAATGCTGTTAAAAGGACGGCTCGTATGAATGAGCCTAGTTCTTTGATATCCCTCAATAATAGAGACCTTCCTCACCAAGACCACCTATTTTCTCTCTTCTGATGAATTCTTAATTATTTGAGTGATTTCCATCCTGATGATTTTGAAGATGCACAGAACATTTTAGTACAGTCAGTCACAGCAGGGAAATTGCAAAACATACTGCCTGATTTCTGTACATCTTTGATAAATTGGAGAGAGATTGCTAGGAGAAGTAATTGGACTGTAAACATTGTCTATATACCAAATGGGATCTTTGCTGATGATCAGAAGATGCAAGTGATGGGAAAAGCGCGAGTAGCTTTGTGAAATGAAATCTCCTGTAGGAACAGGGAATGTAGGCCACCAAGCGTTTGACAGGAAATGTGAACACCACTTTGTTGATAATGTTTGAATACTAAAATGTATTTCAATATTGAAATGGGTGACTTGCAGAAGAAAGTCTTTCAACCCTAATATTGAGTAGCAGAATCAGCCTTCTCAGAAACAGAACTTAAAAGGTATTTAATAAACAGTATAGAATTTTATTACTTTAAAAGTAATAAAAATATTTTCATTTCTTCCAGGAAAGTTTGTCATTTGATGACTTCTACATGAAAAACAAAAGAGTAACAGATAATTTACACGGCCTAAATCCAGAGTTCCCTAGTTCCTTAGGCAATCCTGACCCAAGTGGAATCTGAGACAGAATCCAGGGGTCAGCTTTGCCTCCCATGAGTTTATCCATGTGCCAGGGAAACAGGATTTGGTCCCACATGTAAGTTGCACTGACATATGTGGAAGTCCAGTGGTTGGAAGGGCTGCAGATGCAAGCCTTTGTCTGTGCACAGTTTCCACTATGAGAGATGCAGGAATACTGAAGAGTACAGATGTGAACCTGTAATTAATCTGTTCCAGTTTAATGACAGCCATCATTTCGTTCACACTGCAATAATTTTGTATGTAATATGTGATTATAGCATCACCTTCTTTCCAAAGGCATCTGATACTGTTTATTTCTCTTCGCACAGAAATATATACTATAGGTTCTAATCCACTAATAGACAGTATTAACCAGTTTGTTTAAACAAAACAATCTTTGTAAACCAAAACTAATAGTTTCACTGAAACTAGATCCTCATCTGTAGCCATTGACTCCAGTAGGCTTTGGATCAGGCCCTAAAACAGGCATGGGTCAGAGCTAGCTAATATATCAGTCTCGCATCCAGGAGTTGTAGAGGATACAGAGACTAAAGTTGCACAGACTTTGTAAATATTTATTACAAAATGGACATCAAGTTTTTTAGATCAAATATATGATTTACCATAGGGAATGTACATAATTGTTTGTCTGTGACTGTGTCGATGTACCTTTGATTTCTAGGTCTTCTTTTGTAAGTACATTCATATGTACATTTGGACCATCTGTTCCAGAATACTAAAAAATGCGGAGGAAAAGTTATATTAAAGAGTAAAGTATATTATTGTTCGCTTAAAATAGTCCAATGTTGTAATTGTTTATGCCAGCATGTTAACTGATTTGGGGGGGCTTTTTATTTCCTAGTGCTATGCATGATAACAGCATTACAATTTAAGAATTTATGGCAAGTCATTACTAACTAGCTAAAACTGAGATTAAAAATACTCACTAACGTAATGGAAATTAATATGAAGTGGAATCCATAGATCTATTTGTTGCTTAGTTTGGAAAAAAAAACCCAACAAACCAAAAAAAACCCAAAAAACCAAATCAGCCCAAAAGAGCTGAATACATTATTTCACACATGAATACATGGTTTGGCTGCTGGGCATTGAAAGAACTTCACAATTTTGGATATATCAGCAAAAGACTACTGTCTTTGTGTGTGATACTGGGTCTTTGCGTGTGAACTTTTCCCGCATGTAAAGGGCTCCTGCAACTGTTCATGCAACGGTCCAGCATGTGAGGTTTATTTTGAGTGCCTAAACAGGATGTAAATGGTGAAATGGAGTTCTGGTAATCCTCTGGTTTAAAGTTTCTTTACTGGGGTTTCTAATTTACAAATATTTCTCTTTTGCTCTGGGTCCTCTCTACTAGAATTTAAAGGAAAGGGGAGGGGAAGAAAAGGCAGTCTATGCCTAGAACAGAAAACAACTCTGCAAGTGAATAAGGGCTTGATTTAGCTTTCCCTGAGATAACCCCAGGGACTGTGTTCTTAAACAACACCAAACAGCAACAACGACAAGGAAATAGGGAAACAGGACAAGAAAGAAGAGTTAGAGAGGAGATGTTTCTGTATACCTTAGATGCACAGAAGATAGACAATAGCACTCCTTGTTTCTGATGAAAAACTATTTAGTCACACAGGTGATATGAGGAACCTCTAACCTCAGTAGTTTAAGCAGCATTCATGAAAAGAATATTTTTTTAAATTTAAACCAGCCCACCAAACAGACTGGTACAAATACATTCCTAAACACAAATATATGGGATTGTGTGTATGAACAAAGTAGTATAGAGCTCATTGTATATACCTAATTTCACAAAAATAGGCTTACACATGATAATTTTTAATCCTCAGTATTAATGAGAAAATTAAAAATATTTGTGATGCTATTTTTTTAAGATGGGGTGCCTTAATATTAAAGGGGGAGGTTTAATATTTCTGCTAACCTTTACCACTAATGTGTTATCTATAGTTTTCCCAACACAAGATATATTTTCTCTAACAGAATGATTATACCACTGCAATGTGCAAACAAATATCACATAATCAGCTGAGAAGAAACAAGTGGGTTTAGATTTTCTGCCAGTCAAACTAAGTTTGTAGTGTCGGAGGTGCTAACAGAAATCTGCAGCCATGGCCCCTTTTTGCTTTTCTTGGTTCTTGTAAGTTACATTTTTAAAAGTGGTTGTTGAGCCTCTGTACAGTGGATTTGTTTCCTAAAAAAAAACCAAACAAAAACAGAAGAAATGGGAGTCACGCAATGTTTAACTCATCTTGCCACTGCTTCATCTGCGAGCAGATGTAGTTGCACAGAACTGCCTTGAGCGTACCTCTTCAGCAAAGGGATCATTTTGGTCCATGATTCCTGACCCCGCATTATGATATAGGTCGTACATGCACCAGCTAGTACCACTCTGCTTCCTAATGTGCAAAAGATGATTTGTACTCTATTTCATGAGGAAGTCGGGCCAGACATCTGCCTGGCCCAGCGACGTGTTCCCAACAGCAGGCAACGCAGGCTGCCCGTGGAAAAGCTGACACACATTTCACAAAGCTCTTGGGTCAGAGGGGATGTCCTCCTTCTGGGGATTTGTCTGTAGACATTTTGAACCCATGCAAACTTTTATCATCCAGAATATCTTTGGAAATAAATCATATGCCCTAAGCAGGTGTTGTCTAATGATATCTTCTGGCTCCTTTGGAGCCTGCTATCTCACTGTGCTTGCTTGGGAAAAGTCAGTGAACAGATGTCCCCTCTTCAATTTCCCCAGTCATAATTTTATAGACCAGTAACACACCCTCCTCCCACCGTTTCTTTTCCCTAGTGAGGACTTCTGGTCTATTCTTTGTACAGAAGTAATTTTGCACCTTTGGTCATCTTAGAAGAGCCTTCAGCAGCTCGCTCACATTCCAAGCCACTGAAATTCAGACTGGTCTATATGAGGCAGCACAAACCAGTCTAAGGGCAGGAACATGCTTCCCTTCGCATCTGCCTCCCGGATTAAAGTAATGCACGTCATCAAACAATACTTTATCAAATATGTCCAATATAATTTGTGTATCAAATGTTGTGGTTGGACCATTCTAAAAGCACAGATAATGTCTCAGCGGTGAGGTGTGACTTGTCACGGTCCTTGAGCCACACAGACTACCACGCGTTGGGAGAAGGGTAAGTCCCACCTGGGCTTTTAATCCTGGCCTCCCATGATTCACTTCCTATCATTTCCTCTTGCAACAGAAAGAAAATGAAAATGCTTCTATCAAGTGTATCCTTCCCTTCCCTCTTCCCATATGTAGCTCACTCGAAGGATAAGAAAACATTCTCAGGTGGCCTTGCCTGTAAGCAACTGATTTTTCCCATCTCAAAAGCTGAAAGGGCAGCAGCGTCCATTCTTGCAGAAATGTTGCGATCACAGGGCTTTGTGCGAGAATGGAGCTGGGTGAACGGCAGCGTATCGCCTGTCCTCCTGACACCCACCAGAAATGCTTACTCAACGTGCTTTTTTTCAAAGAGCCTCAGAAGTCTCAAAGCTTTTGCAGAAGAGCAAAAAATTCAAGGGCAGAAAGGAAAGAAGAAAAGGGAACATGTGGTATAAGCTTGCATTAGACATCCGCAAGCTATAGATAGAAGAGAAGGCCTGAACTTCTCTGGCCTTTTACCTACATTTTGGGCAGCTTACATTGATTGCTCCTCTGTGTGAGTGGGCTCTCATCATGACAGAGACCATCAATAACCTCTCTTTCCCAAAATGGGCTCTGTTTCTGGGAAGAGGAGTATGCCTCTGATAATTACATGGGCAGCGAACAACTTCGCTAAGGTTAATCAAAGGCGAGGTACTGATTAAAAAAAACAACTAATAATAAAATGTTATCTACACGCTTTTACATGTGGAAGAAATTAAACTAGGAGATTGAACTCCAGCTATTTTTCATCCCTAAAAAAATTGTAATTTTACTTTATAGAATACTTAATGTAGTGAAAACCTATCAGTAAAATCTATCAATTTAAAAGAACAAAACCAAGACACAGATTTTTAAAGGCAGTTGTGCATCATGCAAGCAAATTAAAGAACCTCATATAAAATCAATGCAGTTAACGTACCGTTTGCCATTTAACTTTCGATTTTTCTGCTTCAAACTTGGCCACCTCTTTTCGGTCTTGAACTGACACCAGTAATTTCCATATACAAAGTAAAACAATGCCAATGAGGAGGATAGCAAGGGTGACGCCCACCATTATCATTGGGATGTTTGGAAGCTGTGGGCAATCTGTGGAAACAAAACCAATTATGACTATCAATAAATTTTAGGCGATTAAAAACATCCAAGAGGCATGGTGGGCTTCTCATTTGCTGTGAACTGTGCATGCCTTTTCCTTCAAGTCTATGTTATTTTCCTCCTGTTAGCTTGCTAAAGGGTTTGTGAAACTGGCTGAAAAATATTGCATTAAAACGTTTAAAAATTTAATTGCTAACTTCTTCCACTGCTCTTTTACCATGTCTATTAGCAGCTGCTGGATACAGACGCAGATTCTGAAAAGAAATGTTAGAAAATAATTTTCAGATCTGTGTCGATATAATTCTAAAAACCAGGGCTGAGTTGACAAGATTATGAATTTTACAATATTACGGCTGAAGCTCTACTTCAATTAACTGATATTTAGTGTGTTGCAGAGGAAAAGATTCTAGCAAAATCTGTATCAGGGTGAAGTCACCAATGATATTGAGAAAATAGAGGAAACTGCATTTCACTCATTAAAACATAGAGGAAAAAATCCATTAGACGTGATGAAAACATTGGACTGAAGAATTTGAAGGAATTTTGCATTTCAAATTCTGCAATAAATTTTATCATACAATATTTCAGAGAGTCGAAATTAAAACTGAAGTTTTTGCTTCACCAAAATGCAAAGAAGTTCCGTTGTTTTAATATTAAAAAGTATTGTTCATGAAAGTTGGTGAACGCTAGTATTTTACAAATTTTTCTGCTGAACCATGGGTTAAGGACATTGAAAATTTCATTTCAGTCTTATTTGGCTTACATGATTGTATTTCACATTACTTTTTTTGCTTGATGTCATCATTTAACTAATTCTGAGGGGTCTGGTTTGAGCAGTGGGTTAACGGTCTGGCTACTGGTACCATCTTGAGTTTGGTTCCATAAATGAAATCAATTTCTAGAGCATTTCTGAAGGTCTCATCTCAGTTCATATCTGCATGCATTGCAGCCACCACAGCACAGTAGTTTCAAGGCCCAGGAGCAGAACAGCAGATGACAGTGAACCTGGTTATCGTAGGGTTGTTGCAGGGCCACTACACAGCGTTTAATGAACCGTGCTTTCCTTAAGATATGTCTTTCAAATTTTTTTTTTCAGGTCTACTTAAAATGCATAGTAAATGTATTTAATAAAGAGAAAATCTTACCCTTAAATTCTTGAATCTTAGGGGTGTAGTTTACAAAGGGATGCGCTTCTTTAGTACTAGCTTTGTTACAACCGTCTTTGCTGTAATAGTAACCTATACAAAACCAGACTACTGTTCTTATGGTAGAAGCTGCTTTTTTGTGCAGTGAAATCCCTTTCATTTTCACATGTATGCTACAGAAAGGCTGCACAAAGGGTTAACAAAATAAATGCCATTTGTGCCAACAGAATGAGGTTACAATTCTGCATGGCTTTCCCTAAAACTTATCTAACATTTAGCGCTGAGACACTGGGTGTGCCATGTCCATCTTCCCCGCCCCCTGCCCCCAAAAAAGGCATTTTCTTTGCCTGGAAACTAAACTGTTTGGCAGCTGAAAAGTGGTGTCTGTTCTCTCCTGTCCTAAATTGTTAGGAGCTTTAATGAAAAATCAGTAGTGAAACAACACTAAATAAAGAAGTAATGTTAAATGAAAGGATATCAGGAGACTGGTTGAATATCTGTTAGTTATGCAAAATATTCAAAGCTTAATGATGCTGCAACATTAAATGTAATTATATTTTAGAATTTCATCAGGTATACCCAATCAGATAGTCTTTTGGAGATTTGTCCATCTATGAAATACATGTCATTTCAAAGTGAATTATAGTTTTCTCATATAATGCAAATGACATTTGGTATCATCATCTTATAATTGCACAGGGCTTTAGAAAAATGAACTTACTCTTGCAGCCCACGGATCGTTCTGCCCATCTTTCATGAAAGGCCAAGTATTTATTTTACTAATACATTAAATACGTACTCGAGGAGGTGCTCTTTTGGCTGGGCAGAGGAAAGCTACAAACACAAGGAGGTGCAGTGCTGCTTAAAAGAGCTCAGCTTCTAGATAGCTCATCCTGCCTGTGTTTTTAAATCAGATTTCATGTAGAAAAAGCAATATTCACTGCTTACCTTTCTGTTCTATGCTATGAATGACTGTCCTTCCCTGCTCATCCATAGCCAGTAGAAATGTGGTTATACATTCGTTTTCCCCCTGCAAAGAGCAGGGAATGGATTTATCCTCTGAATAATCTGCAGAGGGAGGGAAAAAAGTCATTCATCAGATCAAATGAAATTTAACACATAGTAACAAGAGAGACTGCTGGCATCGTGTCTGTCACAGCCTCGTCTGTGGATGGTAGAGAGTGAAAGATGAAAGCAGAAATTCTACTGGGTTTAACAACTTTTCCTCCAACCCAAGCTTTGTTTTGTTCTGACTTTTCACTTATATTTCCAAAGAACTGATCCACGTGTTGTCAATCTGCACCAACCGTCTAGCGCACCTTATTAATCTAGTCTACTGTGAATATCAATGAATTGGAAGTGCTTCCAAGATGCTTAACCACCAGCTGTCTAGGAAATGTAATAGTCCCCACTTATAGGACAAAGTAAACAGTATGTTCTCTTTGGTTTACAGTTCCTCCTACCATGTCTAGATTCTGTTTCAGAAAGAGATATACATACATCAAACAGCAATGGATATTGTTAAAAGGGTTCCCATTTATTTCTTCCACAATAGCCCTCTCAAAGATTAGTGTGTCCAGTACTGTCACAACAAAAAATATAGATTAATAACAGAAAACTGCAATTCTGGGATCTTTGTAATGTGATTCCAAAGGAAGCAGATAAAAAGTGACCCAAGATGATGGTCTGCCCCCATTTATTTGTCTCTCCATTTAATGTAGATCTGCACAAAAACTTAATTTTTTTTTTCCCCAGATGATTCCTAACTGGGAAACCTTTTCTGCAGAGAAAAGTTCATTCAAAGGGAACAGGGAGGCAGGAGGAAGCTGGCTGTGAGGGAAAATATAAAGCAAATAAGTCGATTGAAAATTGAGACTACAGATCCAGAGCCAGAAATGCCGTAATTTGGAGCATAACCATTATATAATATTTTTACAGAGCAAAAATGTCTGGCCTTATAACTGTGTGCAATAATACCTCTGAGGCTGAATGCCTATTATGTTTCCATATAACCCATGATTTGAACAGCACTGGAAATCTAGGTATGCTTTTCAATACATTTTTAGAAAAACTTCTTAGGTTTTATTTTTAGAGACAAGAAAATACAGTAAGCTTCTCAAACATTTCTTTAAAAATAATTGTCACTCTCCATTATTTCTTACCCATTCAAAACTCTTACTGAAATTTCATAAGCAACTGTACTAAAAACCTTAAGTCCTCAAACTTTAATATGAAGAGTAATGAAATGCAAAGTAGGAACCAGATAGGACTATGGATTTTAAAGAAACCTATGGTACATAAAGAAATAAAAGTGCTCACTTTTCTACTTTTTTCTTTTTTTTTTTCATATTGCTTATTATCATAAGATTTGATCTTATAGAAAACACTATTAAACACCATAGAAAATAAGAAAGTATAAACAGTTGACTACCTTACAGTCATTTTCTCTGCTTGTTATGAAAAGAGAATCACATCTGATTGAATTTCAATGGAAACATGCTCTTGATTTGGGATAATCTTGCATTTAAGCTGTTGCCTGTCCTTGGTGGCAGAGCAATGTGTTATCTGTCAAGGTGACAGGCAGACAAGGCTTGCTGATTTAACAAGATTTGGTTTTGTTAGAAGGAAGGGCCACAAACTGCAGACTGAGTGTACTGAATTAATGGCACTCATTGCCAGGTCACAATTCCAGTAACACTGTCACAAGTTTTGCAATATTTGTTGTTTCCCAACTCTTTTAAGCAAGCAGATCCAAAGAATATTAGCTTGGCTAAAAAAAAAAAAAAAAGAAGAAGAAGAAGAAGAAGAAGAAGAAGAAGAAGAAGAAGGAAAAGGGTAGTTGTTAGCTATTCTGAAGGCAGAGAAAAACTTGCAGGCATATTCCAAATATCATCCAGAAGGCAATAACTGCAAATATAATCATTATTTTTAAATTGTGATTCTTAATTTAAGGTCATAATTTGAGACCTAAGGGAGCTGAAATCTGATTATGTGCAAGGATGTAGAAATGAAAGCAAAGATGCCAGTTCAAGCTATTCAGAACCCAGCTTATGCTTAGTATTTTTATTTCTCTGATGTTATTTTTAGGATGAGGGATCACTAAAAGAGACTACTGCATAGATTATTCTCAGTTCATCAGCACAAAAATTTGCCTAGGTAGGTAAAATCCTGTAATTTACACGTGTGTAACTTTCTGAGTTCTGCAGTGAATCATCATACTTTCTCCACTTCTGCCTGCAGCCTAATTCCATTCATTTCAATGGTATTTGAAATCGTTGGAGTCACGCTGGAAGAAGAATTGGGTAACAGGCAAGCTGGGGCCTCAGAGAGTGAAAGACTGTTTCCTAACAGATACTTAGATAAAAGATTCAACAAAAAAAGATTAGCTGTAAATTTACATGTCATTATGCCCTTTCTTGTTTGTCTTTTGCTCAACAAAATGCTGGTTTTGAACAGTTTCGTCTCACTTTGAGTCAGAACAAGAGAGCAGCACCGATATAGAGGTTTGTTCAGGCTCCAGCATCCACTTTGTTGCCGTACTGGGAATTTGTGCAGTGTCAACACTATGTGGTAGGAAAAACTCCGTTCCTCCGGAAAGTGTAACTGTCCCTGTTGGGCTTGTGGCAGGAGCAGCCTGGTGCCCTGTGGCTGCGGTGGTGGCAGGAGCCACTTTTTAGGAATTGCGGTTCCTCCTGGGTAGCGAGTAGTGCAACAAGGGCTCCTCTTACACCCATCTGGCAAGGGGGGGATTAGCCTGATTTACTATTCAAACATTAAAAAAGGATGAAAAGAAATATTTGAAAGCGATGCCTGCCATGGAGATAAGGCCAGTGAATGTGAAGCCGTCAGCAGCCCCAGAGCTGCTGTGCCACCCCGTGCCCTGCTGGATCCCCAGCCCAGGCGGAGAGGCTGCCCGCACCGCGGCCGTGCCGGTGACCCTGCTGCGGCGGAGCAGGAAGAGAAAACCCCGGCACCACAGAACCGGAGCAGAGGAGGCGAAAGGCACAGATCAGAGGCTAAAATAGGCATTCCCAGAAAACAGGAAAATGTAAAGACTACGCCTTTTTTTTTTATTGCTCCACAGTTCCAGTCACTGTGTTGCAACATACACATGCAAAAGAGAAAGTAAATCTTTAAAGTGCTAATATTTTATTTAACCTAGAGCTATTTCTAGTTTTCATAAATCCCTGAAGCATTAAAGAAACTGAAATATAAACCAGAAAGAAGCAGTATGCTACCATATGAAGTTGCTCGATAAACTGTCTTAAATATTATGTGGTGGTCTAGTTATACCACTTTCAAATTATTTTTTTTTTTTGTTTAGGTAATAGAGTTTTGATTTTAGGATTTTTTTATTATTATGATGATGAAGACTTTTTTTCCTCTTGATGCTACCTCCATGCCAAAACAAACCCTTTGAGCTATTACACAAGCATTTAAGATGAAACACAGTTTGCAACAGCTTTTTTTTTGGTTTGTTTTTTTTTTTGAGGGGTTATTGTGGAAGCAGTTACCCAGCCTTCACTACAGCAGTTGCTGTAACTGCTGCAAATAAATTTTAAATCTAAAGAAGTAGCTGACAGTCCCAATCAGGGAAGCACAGGACATGAAAAAAAGGAAATAAGCAGGAACAGGAGATGATGTTGTCATGCTCATATTCCTGTGACCTCTGTGTACATAAACAGAGCTATATAAATGACTGTTTCTGCTTTTGATTAGTATTCATTATATTTGAAAGTAGAATGTCTTATATATTCCTAGCTACAAATATCTGCCATCTGGCAAAAGCAACCTGAAAACTTTACTAACGACAGAGATACAATAAAAGTGCTTTGAAGCTTGTAAAGACATTTTTTTTGTTTATAAACAAATACTGATGTCTAGAAAGGCAAAGCATAATAATAATTTCAATAAAAATACAAAATTAGAGTTAGTTTTCCTTACAAGGGCAATATTTGCAACTTTTAAGTGCTGTATTATGTAGTAAAGTCATCAAAAACAAAAAATGGAGCTTTGTTGGAAAGATGTACATCAGTGAAATTTCTGCATGCATGCAGCTCTGGATGGGCTTCCAACTTTGGAGACACAAACCGTAGATGTGCATACAGCATTCTGCATTGTCATCCTAATTCTTCCATTTGTCTTATTTAATACTTGTGGTACATATGTGATGTGGATATATGTACCTATGTTCTGCCTCACCTAACAATTGCATTTTGCCATAGGATTGGGACTAGAATTGCAATTAGAATAAATACAGACTGCCTACTAAACAGGCAAGCACCTTCCTCTACAGGAAAGAAAAAGATACACTATTTCATTTTAAGTTATATTTTTTTTTCTGAGAGTACTATTTTATTCAAAGTTAATTCCTATTCCAGAAATACCTATTGTTGGGGGGCAGTTTTTAATTAAAGCAAGCAACTGAAAGTTGTGCTTAGCCTTTAGACTACTAGAAATGTCTTTGCCACAGGTAAAAGGGCTGTATCTAGTTGCCAACTGTAATCAAGAGTCTGCATAAGGACTGGAGTCAGGTTTTGCATTTGTATGGTAAAAGAAGCCATGCTGGAACTCACGGTACAGGCGTGACTTAAACTCAGGGCCTTTCATCAGCCATTGATTTGCAGGGACTGGTATTTATTAAATTCTATACTTTCTTACATAAACTGCTTAGAAAGTAGGCATGATCCAGTGAGTTAATTAACCTGGAAGGGTAATACCAGCCCTGATCTGCATTTCCTACTTACCACAGAAGAACCATAGACAGACAGGAATCGCCTTATGAGCCATAACATAATTCCACGGCAGAAAAACAAGGCTACTTTCAAATATAAAATTGCTGAAAGTGGAAACTATCACTAATCACGCACACACAGAAAAGGAAGACGGAGTATACAAACCCTTTGTGGTGCTGATAGTTGCATCAACCAATTTGCATTTGTCACTGCATTCTCCCGGTGACTTGTCATTGGAAGCCAAGTGACATTCCACACAGCTCCTGCAGAAAATAATTCAGCAGCTCATCAATCTCTGCCTGTCACAAGGCAACAACATAAAAGCCAGTATGTATGCATCTGCATTTTAAAAAGAAGCTAAACAAAAGGTCTTGTGCTATGGATACAGTAGTTCTTGGAAATATGATAGGTATTGCCACCAAAAAAAAAAAAGACCCAACCAAAAAAAAACCCCCACCTGAATAAAGGTATTGTGGATAAGCTCTCTCTCATCCTCTTTTCTCTCCCAGCTTATTAGCTACCAGACAGAACCCCAGGCAACATTATTCATGTAGGTCTATCAAAGACATGCGGTTACTCACACATAACATTCATTTTCAAAAATAAATATTCTGAACTAAGCTCACGCTAAATACCAGCTGAAGGAATGCCTATCAGATGAACAATATCTGAAATCGACTTCAGAGAGATCAAGCTGGGGCACCTACTATAAGTCTTCCTTTGTTGAAAGTCTATTGAATAATGTATTAAAACACTATTCAGGTGTCTCAACAGATGTATCTTGAATGTGATTACTTGTCTCAGGAATCGCTTACTTAGATCCTAATTATATTAATGCAATTTATTGGAAAATTATTTACTTTATTTAATGGTGGAATGACTGAAATATTATTTAAAAACAGAGTCTAAACCAATTCCTTTAGAAGTCTCTGAAAATCTTCCCAGAAAGTCAATGAGGATTTTAATAAATCCAGAGTTTATTCATGGAAAAAGGCAACAACGAGCAGAATTCATATATGAAAATTTTTGATGCAAAAATGTATCTTGCTGATTCTTCACAAATACTTTCATCCAGATCAAGGGGCTGAGACTCTGAGAAGCAGCCTGAAGGACCGACTGCTTAAAGAAAAGAAAAGAGAAGAACTGCAACAAAACATCCCCCCCAAACTGGCCATCTCTTCTTGCACCGAGTTACGTATATCCATGGGAATATGCTGAGGCTGCTGAGATTATCTTCACGGGATGGAGATGACCGTATCACTCGCTCTGGAGATGGCAAATAGTAAAAGCAAGTGGGTAATGGGATAGCCTCTATCTCATGGAGGCAAATTCAGTGTTGTTGGTGGTTTTGTAATATTTGCCATGTTTCTCATACTACCACTTTTTTTCTCGGCTGCCTAGCCATTGATCTCAATCCCCTCTGACCTGGTCTTTCAGCTCTCTCGGTTACCCTACCCAGGTATTCCCAATGTTCTCTCTCTTTTGGCTTTCCCTGCCCTGCGTTTCAGCAAGGGAAGACACTGAAACAGAGAGAAAAGATCTAACACTGCATACAATATACATGTTTAAATAGGCTAATGTAATGCCCATCATGTAACTTTATATTTATTATTCTCTGCCAAACTGGGCAAAGCAGCAGCATTGTCCTTTGTGTTTAGAAGAGTTGCATGCAGAAGTTCTCTTTACTTAAAGCTTTGAACAAACTGATAGGCTCGCTTTTGTAGGTCAAATTTAGCACTAACATAAATGACGATTTAATCACATGCCTTAGAATAGCTTCTCATCCCAGATATAGACTGCAACAGCAGGCACGAAAATACAGTGGCGGAGAGCTGGTATGGAAGAGAAATGGGCCTCAGCTCTAAATAAGTAGACATGACATCATCATGAAACATTAATGCAACCTACACTGACTCGGCGCTCAGCAAGCAAAACCAGGGTCATTAATAACATGTATTCTGTGAAGTCTAATTCAACTTCTAGCTTAAATTTCTACTGAAGACTGCTCATTTTGGACCGACTTTAGCCCTACAAGAGCTCACAATACAAGCATGAGCATGGGTGTACTTAGAGCGGTCAGCTTTATGTCACACATTTTTGGTTGCTTTTCCTATCATGCAGCATAACATACACCGTGCATCACAGCTACATAAATTTTGTATGCTCAGTGAACAGAAGACACTTCACCCTTTACAATCAATTTATCATCAACTTATACATGACATACAGCTACCCACTCATTTCATCCTCAGACTATGACCTAGTTTATCATAGTTGGGCCTCTTTAATTCAGCCAAGCTTAACTGAATTTGGACTATGGATGTGCACATGCGGAAAGCTTGAGCAGAGAGTGTGACCTTATTAATTCATATGCATGAGAACGGTGATACAAATGCCAAATTTTTCTGTGAGTCCTCAATTTTGCTGTAGCAGCTATGCTGGGATGTTTACATTCTGTACTGTGGACTGGAAGGAGGTTCATCTGGTTTTGTCTGATGTTATCGTATAAGCCCACCATTCTGATTAGTTGTACAGCCAGGGACAGCAATGGAAGTGTGATGTGTTACTTGTGCTGCTTGAAGGTGATTAAACTGTTTTCCATAAAGTCCTTTTGTACAAGAGTAATGCTGATAAATGGTTGATGTATGAGTTACGACTACCCGTCTCAAAGGACAAAGAAGCTCTTGGGTTCTGGTCTGTAAATCCAATTTACAGTAGCGGCAGCAAGCACGCTGTTGAGTCAGTATAGGAAAGAGATACCTGGATGATACAAACATCAGAGACGTAAAACCAGCACATTACCGCCTGGAAGTGCAAGGGTCACCGCAGAGAGGACATTTTTCACACGTTTGGCCTGAAGCCCCCAGATGGGTGCAAGCACATGACCCACAGATGCATTCGCCTCTCCCACTGCACAGCGTCCCATCCTCAGCAATGCAGGCGCTAGTGTCAGTTGTGCAATTACAGTATTCACCAGTCCATCCACTGTGGCACATGCATTCTCCACAGTCACAGTCACCATTGCCTGGAAAAATATTTATTATACTTCAAATCAGTCTCTTAATAGGAATCTGAATGATGGCCATTAAAATCATTCTCCTTGATAGTAGATGTTTTCCCCTCTCCAACTCTTCTCACTCTTAAACATCTTTCTTCCTCCCCTAGCATTTGCAGTTTTAAGCCAGGGGATCAAATTTTTGCTTAGACTGGCTGTAAGCCAGTGCAGCTCCATTCTCTTCACTGGAGTCCTCCACACAGATCTTATCTCCTGACAGTGCACAACCTAACGGGTAAATCCTCTTTTCATTTATAGCAGCATAATTTCAGCCTATCTGTTCAGCACAATCTCATTGCTGGTTCCTGCCAGTTTAATGCTATCCCCACTGTTTCAATATAATCACTTCTGATTTATAATGGTATAGCCCGGAAAAAAATTAGAAATACAAGTTCTCAAATTCTGATTGTATCTTACTAAGATAAACCGAGAATCATTGTGGTTACTGGGTTAAAATTATAAAAATATCAGAATTATCCTAAAAGTGATTAATTAATTAAGATTGCTATGCTTTGGTAATTATGTTAGAGTGAAATTGTACACTGGCTAACACTGGTGTATGTCAATACACTTACCTAAACTTCCTTGGAGCTACGATCATCTACAGCCTTTAAAAGTCTGACCCAGTGTGATGGTAGCTGATATGCTCCAATAAAGCCATGCCAACTTAGACTAGCTATGGAGTGGTTAAAGGCGTCTCATTTTTAAACTTGCAAACAGCCTTAAAAGTTGTTTCTTAAGTCTAAAGATCGCTCAGAAATAGCAAATAACACTTTATACAGAACTGATTGCAACTGAATACATGACGAAAACACAGATTCACAAGCTCATAGCTGAGAGTGAGATGATAAAGCTCTCAAACGCAGCTGCTAAGATAGCGTCAAGGGACTGTACCTCCACACTGGAGCCCTCTGTGTCTCACACAGGAGAAGTCATCGCATTCACAGCGCGGCCCGTACACTTTTCCGTACAGGGACGGGTGGCAAACGCACTGCCCGCAGTAGCAGTCTCCTCTGCCACTGCAGGAGCTCTGCTCTGCCGAGCCCTTGCAGGAGCTGGTGCCGAGGGAGCTCTCGTCGCATTCGCAGTGCGGCCCCACGTACCCCGGGCTGCAGACGCACACCCCGCACTCGAACGACCCTCTCCCTTTGTTGCATTTGGGGCTGTTCGCCTCCGCCTTGGCCTGACAGTTACAGTTGCACTGGGGATGAATTTCCATTTCCAGCGTGTCACTGAGCCCCACTGGTTTTATCACAATATGCCTTCTGGTTTTTTCACAGGAGGAGAGACTTACAGTCACGTTGAAAGAGACCTGGAAGAAAAAAAGGCGGCTGTTCAGAGCTGCAGCGCACGTAGCTCTGCAGGGTGCTCGGGAAGCGCGTGCAGAGGACAGAACAAGAGGGTCGTAGATGCTGCCGACTTTTTTGTAACTTGTCTGGAGGAAGATTGTTTATTAAAGAGCAAACTCTCTGCCTTGGGGTCCTAAATTCTGTGGACTTCATGTCTTTTGAGAATTTGTTCTTTACTTACTGTGTCTCCCACCTTCACGTGAGAGCATTTCTTCTGATGTGGAAAAAAGGTCCCATTGTTACAGATGGCTGTGAAAGAGAGATTGAGACCTTCTGTCTCACCCAAGATCTCCAGCTCCACCTCGGACCTCAGCTCCTTAAAGGAAAAAGGCGTGAGATGAATGGAGCAATAACACCGCCGAGCGCTGCTAGTGCCCCACGCCTGCGTAATATGGACTGTAACTTATCCCGACTTACACAGCAGTAAATTAATGGGTTTGGCACTTTATTTACAGACTTCTCTATTGCAAGAAAAATGGGGAACGAGCAAAACAAAGCCAGTGCCGACAGAACCGTCTTTCAGTGGAAAGCAATGGTGGTATCAGTTTAATATCCGCTATCACGGGGCTTATTTCCTGCCCTTGCAGGAGAATAAATTCAATGTTTTATTAAATCGTCTTTCATCACCAAGCGCTCTGCTGACTGATACAGGTTTTCCTTTAGCTCTGGTCTTACTGAGGAATGGATTTGTGTCCCCGATTGCATTGCTAGCACTGGGCTTTTCCTGATTAGCCAACCTGTGTCAATATCGCTCCCTCTTTATCTCTCCTGGTAGAATCAAACCTCACAACCTCTCTCACGGCAGGGCAGGCTCTGAGCTCAGTTTTGCCTCAGTGCGGGGCCTCAATGAGTTAGCCTGATGCTTCCAGGGCCAGAGACAGAGCTGACCCTCATGGTGAGCTCCTGCAGCTGGGGGGCTTGCTCCCTTCCTTTCTTCTCCCCACGGAAATTCCTGCTTCGTGAGCTGCTGGTGCTATTTCAAGTTGTATTCAACAATGTTCTCATTTCTTAAATTGATCTGTTCAATCAAACTTTCATTTCTTAAATGAAAAACTTACTTACTGAACTCTCTCGTACCAGGTTTTTATATTTTACTCTTTAAAATACTTTATAGCAACTTTGCTTACACAACTTAGGCTTAATCCAAAGCCTATGGCAGACCATGGGGAAATTCCCTATGACTTCATTGGACTGTGGATCTGGTAGATGGAAATTTTTCAAAAGTACCTTAGCAATTACTGAGCAAAAGTCTCACTGACTTGGCTTTGTGCTCTTTCGAGCTTAATTGCTTTACAAAATACCCCCTGCACTTCAATCAGAGCATGAGGAGCTCACTGACCTTACTTCAGTGAGTCATTCTAGTAAAGGCATCAGGATGACTCATTGGAGTAAAGGTCTGGCGGGGTAAACCAAACTAAAAGTAGAATAGGTATAAACCTGCATAGACAACAACTCCTTGTCCTTTGTACATGTCCTGGATGCCCTGGAAATTTGTCTTTATGGTTGTGTTTGGTGGGGTGTTTTTTAAATGTCTCTTCATTTAGAAAACCTTGTCAGTAAAGCAAAGCAACACATGTCATGAGAGACGTATTCATGTAATACCCAGAGCTCTTTCCAGCAGGCAACCAGAGCAGTAAAACTGTGCTCTGGGCATCAGGTTGGTAATGTTGGTAGCTCTGGATGTGTCCAATTTTCCCTTCACATCTGTTTTAGAGTTAGGTGCTTATGTTGCTATTGAAACAAAGAAGATAGTCTTAGATAATAGCTAATAGCTGGGCTCTCACAAAAGGACCAAATATAGCAAATCTCTAGATAAAACTGTGAATGTTGGTATGTGCTAATATTACAGGAAATATCACCAAGTAGTCCTCCTTTTACCAGCTGCAAAACTTCAAGGCTCAGATAGACTGCAACTGTGAGAGAAAATTAAATACTGCTGAACACCAAGTCACGCTACTTTGAATCCTGGTGTCTGTACTGGGTCATTTGAACATGCCTTGCTGTTGTAAGAGGACATAATATGCACATTACACCACTGAAAATGAACACATGAACTGTGACAAACTCCAGTTTCTTAGATCTTTGTATCTGTGAGGACTTTAATGGTATTTTAAATCTACTAAGCTGCCAGGCCATAGTTTGGGGACAAATAGTGGACAGTTTAGTGACCTTTAAGCCATTCACAGAGAAACATTTGTCGTCCCCTTGTGTTACCTGTCTTTTTTTAACACATTATTTCTTTATTCTTATGTTTCTGTAAGTGAAAGGACCAAGCACTGGAAAAAAAAAAGAGTGGAATTTTCCTGAAATTTTAAAATGCTGGAATGACTTTAAGCAAATGGCCTGATATCTGTCACAAAGCATTGTAGCCTACAGCTCTGCAATACAAAGTTATGCAGAATTCAGTGTTAAACAAAGCAGGCAGAAATATGCTTACAGAAGAAAATGAGTCATACTTGGAAAGAACACGAGAACTCCTTGTAACAAATATTTTGACAGCTCAGACTTTCTTAACTTGCTTACTTCCATTCTGAAGGTTTTGCATAGCACCACATGGTGAATGGTATTAGCAAACCTCGTGTTTGTACAGCAAGCAAAGACTCGAAAGCACTTTAAAAGCATTAAAAGCTTTAGCCTAACTCTACTCTTGGGGGGGGGCAAATAGTTATTTATTCTTTTTTGTGGGTAAAGAAACAGACACCAGGCATTGAATTACACTGCTGAGAGTATCACGAAAAGTCTGTGACAATCATGGAATTAGATCTTCTGTTTTGCATGTGATTTTTAACCGTAGGTCTACCCTCATTTCCCCCTTCCCAGTCCAAAAAAATTCAGATGTCTTCACTTATGTTAAATAAGGTGGTTTTCAGTGTTTCCTGCTTGGGAGATTTTCAATCGTGAAGCAACAAGATTGTTAACCTTTAAGGTTATGTGTAATAAAATGGGCTCCGGGAAATTTTGACTGTGACATGTTGCTACTTGTACACTTTGTACACCTTGTAACGTACGTGGGATTTTCAGAACCGATGAGCAACGCTGGCGCATGGTAGAGGCACGCAGTACCCGAACGAGGACATGACGAGTTCTGGCCCGAAGACAGGAGCGCTGCTCCTGCAGCCGCCTTCCTGCTGCTGCAGGGGGGGAGCGGGCACCGAGCTCAGGACCCCCTCCAATCCCTGCCCGCAGGACGGATGAAACCAGGACCAGCCAAACCAACTCGGGAGCCACACCGAGGTCACCACTGACAGCACTGGGAGATGATCTGCTCAAAGCATGCAGCGGCTAAAACGCCAACGATGTTCTGGCCGGCACAAGCAAGGGTGCTGAGAACAGGGCAGAGGGCATCATTTTGCCTCTGTATAAACCTTAGTGTGCCCCGTCTCGTGTACTGCAAGCTCTTCTGGACTCCACATCTCAGGAAGGACTCATTGGAGTCAGGGAGCATAAAGAGGTCACCTAAAGTTACCAAGGGGATGGAGCAACCAAGGAGAGACTGAAAAGGCTGGGACTGTCCAATTTGGAGAGAAGATTGGGAGGTAGAAGGTGTCTCAGTCACAAAATACTATGAAATTGTGAAAACATGAAGATAAGGTGAATGCAGAGCTGTTATTCAGCAAACCCTGCAACACCAGAACGAAGGTGCGCTCAGTGAAACTTTAAAGCATAGGGAGTAGTTTAAAATGGGAAAAAAGAAAAATGTATCTTAACACAGTGCAGCTGAACTCCTTTTTGCCGCAGAAGGCAATGGGGACTGAAAACATCAGCAGGTTCAAAAAGGAGAGTAGAAAAAAAATAATCGTGGACAATAGCTACATAAGCAGACAGGCAAGGATGCACTCTTCACCTTTCCAAAGTTCCAGCAAGGCAGAAGGTGCCATGACATGGCAATTAGAGGAAGCACCATTCTGCGCTTAACACAATGTTATAGCAAAGGCATCAGGACACAGCACTGGGACAATTATTTTATGTTTTTCCATTACTTACTGGACAACAAAATGGTATTTCAGCTGTTAAATGCAGGAACTTCTGTCTATATGTTAGAGTGCCAGCCTCAGGAAATCCTGATAGGAACCAGGTGTGGCTAACAACAGGTAGGGCTCCAGAACTGATATCCTGGTGCCACTGGATGTTCAGCCCTAGCTTCACCCATGTAAAGATTTCCCTCATATTTATTACAATTTGTAGACTCCCAAGATTAACCTTAAAGTTCTCGGCTTATTAAATTTTCCATAGGACAGAGAATCTTCCGGTATTTTGTATTTCATTAAAAAAATCATAACTCACCAATTGTATTGCTTTTATAAGAGTTATAAGAGTTAGAAGAATTTTGTTTGCCTTCCTATCATCAAGACCAAAATAATTTTGGGCATAATGATGATCATCTCATTCAGGTGATAGGAGGAGGAGCAGAAAAAAAAATAGAAGGAAAGAAACAGAAGCTATTTGCAAAGGATTATTTGGCATTGTAGCCAACTGGTAGAGCAGGTTTTTAATAAAAAGGGACTGAGATGGAAGAGAGAAATCTATGGTATATTAGCATATATGTAAATTAAGATATCTGTGTAAAGACATGTAAAGCTGTCTAAAAACATTCCCCTGACAGAAGAGAACCAGGCAGCCAGGATGCATTTTACAAACAAATCTCTGAAGAGCAGCGCTGTGTTTATGTTCCCGTCAACTTTACAGTATTTCTTGGTATTATCTAAACAAACACATTCAAGTCTTGGTATTATCTAAACAAACCCATTTTGGCTCCTGTGTTATGCTTTTTAAAAACCTCAGAACAGCCTCACAGGGGCAGCAACAAATTGCTAAAGCAGAGAAGAGCACTGAGTACAGGATAGTGCTTTTCCCCCCAGATATTCCTGCAGAGCAATTGTACATCTGCTGTGGTGACGACTACCGATGGGAAGAGAGTTGAGTCCCTGTCGAGGTATTGAACTGGGAGACCTGAATATCTATATTAAAGAAGGCTTAAGAGTAGGTGTGAAATACAGGACTATGAAGAAAGCAAGACAGATGAGACACTGCTGTGAATTTAGCATTACAGCAGCACTAAGGAATGACAAAAGGTTATAGGAATTTTGTTTCTGTGCTCACTTAATCCTCAGAGGGAATAGAACTTTTCCTGTTAAGGTCAGTACCTAAGCATAAAAAATGATGTTCTTGTAATCAGTGCATCAAAAGAATCAAAGACACTTGTTTTCAAATTGCAATCTAATTTTGAAAATACAGACATGCCGGAAGAAAACACATTATAACCATCTTACCTGATATGCAGCAATGATCAGCTGGAGAATATTTCCAGAATCCCTCTGTAGTCGTCCAACAGTAGCTCCAGGAATAAGCTTTGCATAGTTCTGAAAGTATAAAAGGAATTTAAAGCACAAAAAAAAAAGACTATGTGACAAGAAGCTACCATCTGGAAAAAAAACAAAATACATTGAAGCCAACTAAAATAAATAATAGTGACATTTTCGAGGACTCTTGCAGACTCAATAACACACACCTTATTGAAAAAGTCCTATGAAAAGTGCTAATTTCACTGATAATTAATGGGACATATGTTGCTAAATCACCTCTGCGTGCTTGGAAGTTTCATACTATAGTATTTTTCAGCACTAATTTTTCAAATTTAGAAGGAAGATATATTCTCTCAACAGTTGTGTTTTTCTCTAATAAAAATAACCAAAACCAGATTCAGCTGCTCTACTGCTGCTGTACTATTTGAGAGTCTTAGACTCTACATTCAATAACAGCAGTAGCAACTGAGCATTCTGAATTCCGATTAGCGAGGGCACAGAAGTTAAGAAGTTTAAACTAAGGGCTACAAGAACTTTGAACAAAGGCCCTTAAAAAACTGCTGCTAGTTTATGTTTGATGTAACACCGCACATGTATCCCAGTGGTCTGTGGCTACGATTGATTGTATGTTGATTTTATGTTAATAATAAAGTGCCCATTTAACGATTTATTTCAGTGATGATTTTTCTTTTGTTTTTTGCATTAAATTGCATTGTGAGACTAACATGACATCTAGCAGCTAGATTTTAAAGATGCTTAATTAAAATTTATCTTGCCTGATTGTTAACTACATGAACTTCTCTTGCTTGTACCCATGCCTTTGGAAAATAGTAAGTGTTCATCATTAAAAAAACACATTGTAGCATTCATTTTCTTTTGCAGTTTATCATATCAATGCTGTTATTTTAATTAAAAAAGAATTCCAGAGAGCTATTAATAAACATGGATAATTTGATACCCTTATATCCGTCTTCTTCACATCTCCAAAAGCCCTGTGATTACTTTATATATTATGTATGGAACGCTTATCATTCATTAGATTTCTAAAGTGCTATTGTAAATCAGTGGGATTAACTGCATTTTATGTTACAGCTGGTGACTTTGCATTCCTGACTCCTCCTGTGATTAGTGCTTTCTCAAGGATTCTTAGAATATTGAAACTCTGCATTTTGTACACGTGGACCTTTTGGGAGATAATTATAAGAAAAGACGATAAACCTGGAATTTAAAGTATAGTACCCTTTAATCTGTGGTATGCAAAACAAACAGCAGGGATATACTGTTCTGAAGACTTCGTTTTATCTTTCCTCTTTGAACAAAAATTTTCTGCATGGTGATACAAGGATGACGTTGCAAGCCCAGTCTAAGCGTGTATCTCCAGTCCATTGGTTAAACCCTACCTTTTAGCAAATATTTCTGTTTAACCATTAACCAGGTGAGGCAGACTGGTGCTTTTGGAGTGCTAGTATTGTAAAACATCCAAAGGATGTCATGGAATTTAGTCTTTTAGCAAATATTCATTAAAAGGTGAACTGCCATTTTATAGAGATACTCTGATTCATTTTAGTGAAATTTGACAATTATATATGAGTTCGGTGAGGTTATGTCTAACTTTTAGCAGTGTAAATGATAGAAGAATTTTCATCATAAATAGTGTACTATGCCAAATTTATAAAAATCATTTGAAATTCTGTACAAATGTGGAGACTGGAGTATTTTTAGTTCAATTTTCAGCAGTGAAATGCAGCCTGAAAAACCAATTTTCAAGCTGTATTCTCCTGTGATATAAAAAGAAATAATTTGTCCAAAAAAGAGCAATTTCTGTTTCCAAAGAAGCGCTGCCTAGTCAGGGTTAAAGAGGGATACTTTTCCCTGATCTAAGTTTGAATACATTTTTAGAGAATTCTGCTTGAAAAAAAATAATATCAACAATAATAACAACTACTTCATGAAACCTTAAAAACCAGTGTTTTCTTTTATACCAAAATAAGATTTACACAGTATGTCAAAATATCATTCTTATTGCAATATTCATGGACACTTTTTGAGTTAATAGCTTTTCTAGAATAATAACATTCCCTGCTGCTTTAGTAAGAGTCAGCTGAGACTAATGATGTAAAAAACTAGACATATATGAATATATTTTAAAATGCCTTTTGGGGGGAAAAAAATAGCCCTTTTTATAAATAATCTCGGATAATCAGGGCTCCATGTAAGGAACTTCCTCCCCTCTCTTGCATTTAATTTTGGGTGGTCTTACAAATGTTTCCACCTGACTGCTTTTAAAGTTCTTGTGGTCAGGGAGACCACCAGACCTAAACCTTCCCCCTCTTTTAGATTGCTGTGCAGTAGCTGTTTGGTTGCATGGAAGGATCAAAACTAACACCAGCTATGTTACAAGCATCCGTATTCTGTGCTTGCGCAATCCGTAATATTTGTGTTAGATAATAATACACATACATGTAAGTGGATAAACTGAAAATTCTGTTGAAGAGGATCAAGAATATTAAATGACTGAATTATTTGGGGCTAAATTGTTGGGGATTATACAGGGCTAGAAATATAAAATATATATTTGACAGTCTGAACACTGCACTTAAGAATAATGGAATCTATCAAGTCTATTTAAAGAGGTGCTTCCTAAGTCCTCACAGTCATTTTAATGTACGTTTGTCCCCAAGAAGTGAATTATAAATAGCAATAGTCAATTTTGGGGTCTGATATAATTAGATGCTGAGTTCAAGTAGATTTGAGATGAGATATTTGGGGAGAGGCTTTCAACCTCAAAGGATAATTAAGTTTGGGAGGGTTTTCTGAGGGAGATATTGCAGAATCTCCATTACTGAGGCTTTTAAAAAGAAGTAAAACACCAAGACAAGAGTGGTTTAATGGTGATGCTCAAGTGCCAGTTTAGGGTCCTCTCCCAGCTCTTCCAGGCTACCTGAGCACTGGCCTTAACACAAGAATAATTCTCATTGTCTTGCTTTGTTCTTTTCACATACTTAAGCATGGATACCTGGTTATTTACATTTATATCACAACTTTGAATCACACAGATGAAAACATGACACTATTGTCCTGTTTGCAGGTCCTACATATACCCTTGAAAGCACACTGTAGTGTGGAAAAACTGCACTGTGAGACAGACTTATATATGATTTTTGTACTTGCCGTGACTGATTTTCCACATCACCTACAGGACAGAAAGCAGACCATAACAACTATACCTATCCACATAAGTGACAGAAAGCAGTATTAAAAGATGAAAGCGGCAGATAGAATATATTGAATGGTATTACTATACACCCTACAAGATAGAAGATAGTTGCACTTTTTTTCCTAACAAAGAAAGTAACAAGAACAAACCATTCCCCCTGTTGGGTTAACAATGGCTTGCATTTTTTGTTAGCTATAAATCTTCATTTAGTGTTCCCAGTGAACAAAGGGTGCCACTTGATAACTTTGATACTGGTATAACACTGACACAGGGATACTGAAATAGAACCCCCCCGATAAGAACACTGTTGGCCAACTCTGGGAGTGACCACCAGCAATTTCAAAGGGAAAATATAATGCCATCAGTGAGAGAAAAGTTTCTTTGGACAAAATAAGGCTCTGTAAATCAAAGACATACTTCCAAACTACCTCCTAGAACAGCCCCTATTTATGCAGCTGCTATTAAAATCAGGGAAAAGATTTCATTTGTCATTAATTGGGCCCCTACTAAGAAATTGTTGAGCAATAATAAGATTTAGTAGAAGTTTTTTAATGTGCAAATTTTAACTAATCTGTGCTATGACTATAGCATCCCACTGCATTTGTAATTTTCTAGATTTTCATGCTTCAGCTCAGTATTCAATACAGTCTTTTAAAAGCCAGGCAGTCAGTGCTCCAAGATGCAGAGTGTTTCCTCCCTTGTCAAGACTGTAAGCTGAGAATCAGTTTATGAAGGATGTGACTCGTAACTTTTGTCAAACACCTGGAGTATTAGTCTTACTCGAGACACCTCTACAGCTGGAATCGGTTGCAGAAGCACTGGGGCGTCTTCCCTGGGTTACTCACAGGATAGAAATAGAAAACCATGATACGGGTGAGTACCTCAAGGACCCATCTGCTCTCTCTGCTGCAGCATAGGACCTTTTCCCCTACTCTTTCTTTCCTCTTTTCTATGTGGTTATCACACCAGAGGAGCACCTCTCTTCTTAGTCCTTTACTTTTGGCTTTTAATGAGGAATGCTGTGCGAAGGTTTTTCCTTTGGAAAGCCAAGCTTATTGTATCAGGAGGATCACACTTATTGACTCCCTGTCAACCAAACTGAATAAATTTGGAGGCACAATTTCTCTCCCCTTGTCCCCCTTCATGCAGCAGCATGTGGCCAGGCAGCCAAGCTTAGGCTGAAAAACCTCTTATTATCCTCACTGAATTCTTATCCAGAATTTCTTTTTATACGTGAAGATTTCTTCCCAGCAGCAGGACTGGACAGAAAAGGACATAAGAATTGCCAATATCCTTCTTATTTTATCTCAGAGGGCTTTTCTCATGTTCACCGCAAAAAGCAGTTAAGCAGCTGTTGGTGGCTTTGCCTCAGCTCACAGCTGGAATATCCAACAGGCCAAAAGCAGCACAGGGCTTCAGGAGGGCTTTTATCTGTGGAGGATGAAAACAGGTGCCTGCACAGGTGACTGATGGAGCTGCAGGTATGAATGATACTCAATTTATTAATAATATGGATTTTGCATATCCACAACCACTGCTCCTCTGCTCTCCCCTCTCTCCTGGCTCCCATTTCCCATGGCATGACTTCACAGAGCAGGAAATGACTTCACAGAACAGGATCTGCGAGTCCTAATGTCAAAAATTCCTGTAATGAAGTGTTTGCCCTCAGTAGACATGAGGAACGATACATGAGGGAAGAGGACTTTGTCCATCATGATTTGTGGTTTTAATCTTGTTGCTAGTTTCCTATTTGTCTCACTGGAAAGAGACATAGAAACAAAGAGAAAATGAATAAAACTCTCAGGTCAGCTGAAAAAAACAACACCCATGATCTCAGAGTTGAGCATGAAGACAAGTGTCTTTTTCATAAGGTATTCTTGTCTTATAAAAGTAAGAAAAGGTTCAACTGTCCTTCTCTAGCCTTATAAAATACAAAAAGGCTAATCATAGTGATTACATTGAATAGTTTAGCAATGCTTAGTTTGATGATCCTTGACTTAAAATATTAGTGTGATTCAACTTGAAATCAAATTTAAGAGCTACACAAGAACATCAAAATCAATACATGAAGAAGCTCTTCCTAAGTAAAAGAGACTTCCTCTGATATATAACTTCCTAGCTATTTTTATTACATAAATATCTTGCAGAATTCAGTCCTTAGTACTAGAATTACTGTATCAGCTGTGAGAAGTTGTGAACTTTAAAACAAATAGTAGTGAACTGAACATTTTAGTTTGCTCACCTCATATATGTGAACTTGCTCATTCGTTACAGCAAAAATTAATAGAACATTGTTTTGCACAAGTTTGTCAATTAATTGTCCAATTGTGGGATACTCCTGCAAGCAAACAGAAGAGAGCCATATCAATCCATTTTTCCTGTGCAACCAGTTGCTAATTATCTCCCATGAAACACACATCCAAATGATCATAATTAACACTGCATTCTCTGTAGAGTATAAACTATAATTAGGCACTACATGTATACAAAATAAAAGATAGTGTATATAATTTCCTCGTGTTGTTTTTAAGGAAACCTCTCTGAGAAATGTACAGTGCCAGCCTCCATACTAGGACACTTGGCTCAGTAGCATCTGTGATATATATATATAATCCAAAGAATAACACTGCACCAGAGCAACTGGGTATTTGTCCTACACTGAACACCATAGTGTATATATTCGGTATTTTTGAACACTGAATCTTAAGCTAGTAAGTTCTCCTACACAAACAGTGTCCTACAAATTCCTGAACTCCTCCTGAATTCATACCCTTACAGGGAAAGGAAGGAAATACTAGTCAGTCCCATTCTATGTGTTTTCTGGTTAGCAGGAATAAGATCTGTGCTTTCTTTTTTCCTAGTTATAATCTGTCCTAACTCCATACTAACACACTGTTGTCTTTTTACTGAAATGTGCAATTACAAATAAAATAGATTACATGAAGTATCTGGATTCCCCAACTTTTACACATTTCAGTGATAAAGGTATACTTTCATTTGTTTTCTAAGTTGCTCATGTTAGTATTTAAATTTCCAGAATGTGAGAGTTGTACAAAATTCATAGTAAATTACCAGAACAGTTGACATGGAATACTCGTTATTGTGGTCCAAATGACAGTTCCCATCATTAGGAATAACAATCCCTGCCAGTTTACTGTCCATCCCAAAATGGGAATCCGCATCACTCACAAACACCAGCAAATGTAGAGAATCATTCCTCCATCCAATTTTTTCCTGTCATTTAAAATACATTAGTTTAGCAGGCTGTATTGCACTTACAGTACAGAAAAGCAGCAAAAGATGTGGAGAACAGCACCTCAAAATAAATTAAGGGAATAATTTTCAAGGGAGTGTCAAAAACATCACAACATCTCTTAAGAAATGATGTTCATTGCATTGTCTTTGGCTAACATTTCGTCTCCCCATTTCTGTGTTTAATAACATGGGCTGGCCATGTTCATGTCAATCTGCTTACTACTCTAAACATAGTTAATAGAAAAATATTTAAAGAAAAAACAATCAAGAAAACAGACCCAGTAATTATACAGTTGGGTTTTTTCTATCCCTGGCAATTAGAAGAAACACTAAAATACTGCAATATGCATGTTTTACTTGATACAGCCAAAAGTATTTTCACACAAATCTAATGAGGCTCTTGGACTGCATTAAAAAAATCTTCAAAAATAATGATCTGCTGCTTTGAAATACAACACTATAAACACTTTGAAATATAACACTAGAAATGGTAAATATACAGAATAATTAATATTATACCTAGAAGTTTCAAGTACCTTGCAAACAGCTGCCTGCATAATTGCATCGAATCCTCCCTCTGGAGTGTCTATATTAGCAGAGATTCGCTGTCCTTTCACAATTTCATTGAATTTTTCAGCATCATTTGTTAGTGGCAAAACATGTTTGTATCCAAAGGTGGGTAAGCACTCGTATGGTACACTTCTACAAGATAAGTGAGACAGTTTATGGATAATACAGAATGAAAAATCACTACAATGGCAACTTTGCAGGCCTGCCTGGATTCGCTTTTGGTTATGTATCTCTCTTCTGTGTCTGAGACAGATGTAGTGAAAAATGTAAGATAATCAAAGAGCATCCAGTGAGGTGGGCAATGCAAACACATCTGTGTAAAGCCTGGGAAACGCCTCCTAGAGCAGAGTAATTCAGCCAGTTAACAACGTGCAGTCCTTGCCGTGCTCCCTGCTGCGCCTTGTTTTCATACTCAGAAGCACATTAAGATCTGTAGTCCCTTAATGACATTCAGAGAGCACCACCAAGCTGCTGCAGTCCTGCTTCAGGCTGCAGAGCACAGCTTCTCCTCCACCTAGGTTAGGAAAGGGCTAGGGCAGCCTGGGTTTGGGGGATACTGCTAGACCTTAAGGGAGAAAAAAACCCAGGAAAACAACACTGATCGGCAAATGAAACTGCTATTCTGTGTTGGGTTTGAGTTTGCACCTGCTTAGTATAGCGATGTCATAAAATTCTTATATATAATCTATATGTATATTCTAGCAAATTAAAGAAAAATACATAATTATTCTGCATGCCTGTTAACCCCTTAAGCACATTTGTAATTAGCAGCAAAAGCTAAAAAATTAATCACTCCCAGATTCCTCTCTCCAAATAACATAAGACTCAACAGAATAATGATCAGAGTGCAAAACTAAAAGAAACAAATCTTGTTTCCCAGCCTGACTCATTCACAGCTGGAAGAGGGCAGAGGTTCTAGTGAAGCTGCTGAATTGAATTTTATCCTAAAGATTAATATTATGATTTAATGTTGGCATGCAGACAGATGTGCATATTTTCCCTGCCTACCTGCAAGGGTTGTTTATTTCTGCAGCTGTAGTTTTGATAAATGGTGAAACTGGTTTTTCAACAAAAGATCCAAACCCCAGTCTGAAGTTGCTTGTCAGTTTTGACATTTCTTTAGAAAGAGTTGAACCCAGTTCTTTGATTGTATTCAGATCATCATCCATGGAGGCGGAAAGATCCATGAGGTAATAGAGATCAATTGGATAATCTTCAGTTTGGCGGACCTTGATCTGTATTGTTTCTTCATGTCCTATTAAGGTCATGGGAAAATGGGATACATATTAGCACTTCTACACAGAAGTTATGAGTAATGCCAATCTCTTCATAAACTTACATATATGGTGAAAATTATTTAGTATTTTAAATCACCAGTAGAATTAACAAAATAACTTCAGAAATTCTCTGTCAACAAAAATCTCAAACAGTGGTCTGAAAGATTAAAAGCAGTTCTAGTTGTTCTTTTCTAAAGTCTTCTTCAGTAGAGCCATAAACAGAGAGTTACAACTGATTGCTATAATTTGAAAAAAATATGATAAATTCATTTCAGCAATATGCAGCTTTAGAAAATTTAGATATGAAGCTAATTAAAACTAAAGGTAGCACTTATGGGACATACCATGTACTTTAGAAATTTAAAGAAAACCGGAGTGTACACACAGGTTTTATTCTCAGTTCCAACAACAATATGACCTAACTGGGTGTCTCGTACGTTTCTTTATTCCAAATTTTCTCCAGGAAAAATTCATATCTCAAGGACCCCAAAGTAAGTCTGGAGTGTTTCCATAAATGTCACTGGTACCTCGTAAATCCTCAGAGCAAGATTTTATGCTGCCTCTGAGATACGCTGTTTGCCAGACCTGCAGGGGAGAGGCACAGGAGCAGGGCTGGGGAGGTAGGAGGGAGTTCCATGCTCTCCCTGCCACCTCAATGGCAAGAGAATAAAAGAACTAAAAAAAATATATCCTTACTTTTATGAGGTACCCTGCCCTTCTGAAAGCATTTTGAACTCTGTCAAACCCAGTTTTCATCTGATGCGTCAACAAATAATTTTGGACTCAACACAGGTTTTTAATCTTTATTCTATTAAGATTTTTTTAGACCATTCAGTCTGAGAAGCTTCAGTATATCAAACTGGCTGAAAAAAAATATCCCCACATCTATGAATTGAGTGACTTACCTGGTCGCAGCCTTAGAGTTAATTTTTGAGGAGAAATCTGTGTGACATCAGAATTGTTCTTCTGGGTCACTAGTGTTAGGGGCTTGTTTCTGTGAATTTCTACTTCTGAAATGGGAAATTCAATCAAATTCAACTGGCATCCTTTTGACAAAAGGTTTTCTGGGGTATCACACCTCCCATGAATTCCAGCTGAGTCTGTGTAATTCTAAAGCAAACGGGAGAAGGAAGGGATGAGTTAAATCTATTTACTGACCAGCCACCAGCACCTGGCTGATGAAAGGTCAATCCCATGCAGGGAACAGAAACAAAGGTGCAAGTTAGTGCAAACTAGTGCAGAAAGAGATCTAGGAGGCACAGAAATCTAAATTTGCCCTTCATGGATCATGTCGCACAGGTGTATAATTAATGTAACTTACACCGATTTGGCATCCTGGGAGAAACTGCTCTATTGTTGGGGAATGGGAATTGTGCCACTCACTGCATTTGGCTTCTCGCAGTACTGGGAGTAATAACACAAAACCTCTATGAGCCCCTGGTATTTCTATTACAGGACTATGCCGCAAATTCATCAGTCTTTCCTAAACAGTTTTGAACTGCTGATGGAACAACATCATTTAACAACAGAAGAGGTCTCGTAGATAATGAACTCCTACAGATTTTGTGACAAACTGATGGTGCAGTACCCAGTGTTCCCTGCTTTTTTCTGACCTACTCTTTCTCCTCAACACTTGTTTAATGTGTTCCCTGAAGCAGGTAGCAATTCCTTGTTACTCTGCCTGGTGCCCAGCAAGAACCCCAGCCTCCCTCCCTCGGTCCCCAGCACCGGTGGGGCTCCTGGCATGTCCATGTCTTTCTGGTTATGTTTGTCCCAGTGTCCTTCTTGACCTTCTCCTATCCAGAGGAAATCACAAGCCTATCAGTATCAGTTGGATAGCTTGCAGTTTATTTTTGTTACTCGTTTCAAAGCACTTGATATGCATTCCTTTCCACAACACTGATGCAGGGTAGGTACTATCCCCCCGTAGCAGTGAAGTTAATGGTTAGTTTTACAAAGAGGCTTCTGTGCCTTATTGCCATTTCCTAGAGCTATGTCTAGAGTTTAGATCCTCAAAATCAGGCAGCTGCCTCCTGAACTGGAAACTGCTCTGGCCTGCAAGACCTTTTCACCAAAACCTGGGCAATGCCTGGCAGAACCAGCACCAAAACATTCAGTTCCTGGCTGATGGTCATGGGCCCATACCACAGGGCTGCCCTTTTCTCCTGGATTTGGACAAGCAACCTGGGGTTCAGCCATTAAGCCACAAATATTCTCTGAATCCAGTCACTGAAAAAGTTTCCATCCAAAGCAAACCAGATTTACTTTAAACCTATTAAAACCAGAATTGGGACCCTTCTTTCCGCCAAAATGTCACCCCTCATGCCTGAAAGTTATCAGTGATTTTATGCAGTTTAGTGGAAGCAATGTTGAGACACCTGATGGGAACAGTGGTTTATTATTCTTCAGACCAAATCTGATGTCTTTGCTCAGGCGAAGCTCTCGCCAACTGCTTCTTGAATACAGTGTGCATAAAGATCACGTACCATTATAAAACTTTCACAGGGAGATCCATATCATCTCCTTTAGTTACACACTTTGAGTTGCTGGCTTTTCAAAACATGTGTGAAGAGGCAAACTCATATTTCAAATACAATTGCAAGTTGTGTTTTTATCCTACAGAAAACAGTGGTTTCTTTGGAGGCACTTGTGTTTACTCTGACACTAAAGCTCCTACGTCTTTTACACTCTTGATGTATTGTTCTGTAGCAAACAAGTGAATTAGCCTCTGAACAAAGAAAAAAATCATTTTTACTACTCTGAAGTTTTCAATAGTTCCACAGTTGTTTGTTGGTTTTTTTTTTAAATCAATAAATTGTGTTTCAACTACATGGCAGTAGTCAAAATTACATGATCAAATTTCATTTCAAGAAAATCCTGTTTTGGTTGCTAAGTACAAACATAAAAACTACTGCAAACACACTAATATGGGTGGGGTTTTCTTGCCATAGTAACATTTTTTGCAAACTGATTTTTTAAAAAAAGTGCTGTTTGGTCTTTGTCAGCTACTTCATAAAGCAGCATGTTAGTCCCATCTTAGGTATCATTTTGCTATTCAAAAAAGCAAGAAATACTTTTAACAGCAAAGGTGTAAATCAGAAACTATCATGAAAAAGACTTATTTTATTTCTCTATTATTTCTGGCAAGTTTTTAATTGTGATAGCTGACTATCTTGCTAACATTAATGAACTAAGAGCTAGAATATTTACTGTGATGTAGGGAGATATTATTTAGCATCATTTACCAGTGAAAGTTTTAAAAGCAGAGATCTTAAGTGACTTGCCCACAGTTACACAGAAAGTCTGCAACAGATATATAGGAAACAAATCCAGATTATTTTTTTTTTAAGCCCAATGTTTTAGCCAAAACACTTACACCTATATCATACAAAGTATAAAACTGACACTATCATCATACTTAAAATCAACCACAGATTAACCATTCGTATATGCAAACTGACTAGAGCACCTTCTGTTTACACTGCCTGGCTTGGCATGTAATATGTAAGATGCAGTCTGGTCTCTGACTCGATGTCTGGTGCTTCATCATCAGTGCTGTGGGTGAGTCAGCCCTCAGGCTGATGACCTGAGCCCCTCTAATAACACTGCCTTACGTGAGGAAGATTGGTTTTTTTAAAAAACAACAATGAATAATAAAGTCTATATTGAATTCCACTTTTGATCCCCAGGAAGGCTTCACTAAGCACTGCATGCATTACAAAACCACGGGCTGACCCAATTAAGTCAATACTTCATCACTCAGAGCTACTACAAACACTTCAAGTCTTACTTTGAAATTTTTTTTTATCATTTACTCTACCTCTTGAAAACACCAAGCGCAGTGTGGTCCGGAAAGCAAACAATCTTCACAAGTCACTGCACTTTCCTGAGAACAGGTCCCTAAATTTAAATCCAAGAAGATAAAAGACTATTAATAATGTGTTTAATCATTCAATTTATGAAGAATCTTGTCATTTAGAGAATGTTGGAGGTGAAAAATGCACACATTTAGCCATATTTAGGATTATTGCTAGAATTCCTTCATAATGGTATTTCTATTGGTAGAAGATTAACTCTCTCATAAAATTCAAATCCCACAATTGCTGGCAATTAACATACTTACTTTTGCATGCTTTATGGATGGCATTCACTGAGAACATGTTACTTGTTTTCTCCAGCGCACCTGATAAAGTGTTACGTGTGTTTCTGGTATGGTGCAGGTAAGACATTTCCAACACAATCAGGGATATTAAAAGAACAGATTTATGTTCACTCTGTACGCTTAAAATTGCTTCACTCAGGTCTATAGATACTTGATATGATTTTAATTTATTGTGCAAGTACCAGCAAAACACTCAGTCACATGTATAGTATTAAGTTTCTGAGCAGATCAAACAGTGATTAGTATAATCAAAATTGCTCAAACGCCCAGTTCTCTCATACATGTTGTGCTATGTAATGACCACATGAATCTTACATGAATTTGCAGGGTAGCCCTACAGCAGTCTGTCAAAAAAAAAAAGTCACCAGGCAGAAAGGAACGATTAAATACAGAAGACAGAAAGCTATTTCATGTCAACTTCAAGCAAGAAACAATGCAAAAATGGTTTTGAAATGGATCTCCCTACCCCTGACCCTTACCTTGCACATAGTTATTTCTTTGCAGAAAGAGGAAACAGAGGCAAAGCAATTCAATCCCCATTCGTTTTCAGTGCTGGCTGCGTGACAAAAAAATATTAGCATGTTAGTTATCGTCCACGTAAAGGTAGAATGTCGTAAAAATCATACATTCCTGGAGGGTATGTTTTCAGATGTCACCTACACCGGATTGCGAGGAAACTTCAACCCTACCAGGACAGACCATGAGTAAAAGTGAAAACAAGGGCTACCTGGGCAGGTAAAGAGAACAAGCTGTGCATAAAGTAACGTGAACATGGTTATCACTTCCTTGTTTTCCTGGACTCCTTATAAGGTATAAGGGGAAAATTCATTCAGGTGAAAATTTCTGTCAATCCCAGTCACTCTGGGTCCTAGAGCAACCCAGCCGAGCGAGCAGGATTTCATATCTACAGTAACTCTTAAAAGGCTGCTCTAAAATAATGCCTTTAATTGTTCCCTGAGGGAGTGTGTTAGGTAGATGGATCATTACGATTGCCAAGTGACTATACCTGGAGAGATGTAAAAATCCCATTTTTTCAGATTTCCTGATGTGGAGGGAAACTTGTAAAGGCAACTGTGAAAAAAAAAAACCAAAAAGCAATAACTTATTATAATCAAGGAACTGGCTTCAGCAATTCAAGATACATTTACTTTATTAACATTGCAAACTGAAAAGGAAATGCTCCAGTTGTGCATTTTTTTAATGTGTAGAAGTAGAAATAATTGCACTCCCAGTTCTGCAACTGACTTGGAAAAAAAATCATGTCAGCTTTAACTCTCTGTAATAAGTGGCCAAATATTCTACCAATATAACAAGTCGTTGCTACCTCTTCCCCCCCTCCCCAACCTGGAATGAAGGCAAAATATGCATTTCTTACAACCGTATTAAAAGGAAATAAAAATTCTTATTTGTAGAGTTCATCTCTTCCCATCTTTTATGCTCTGCTATTGTCTGTTTTGAAAATGATTTGTTGAGGACAAGCCCTCTCTTATCATAAGGGTTTGCAACAGACTGTACACAGTGCAGCATAAAATTATAATTTCATCAGTTGTGTTGCTGGCCTGAAAACACGTATCCTTTTTTTCTGCAGTCAGAAATCCTACCAAAGTTAGCTGATAAGGACTAGGTTGCTCTCACCAAGAGAACTGGCAGGATCAGACCTCCCTTTTCAGGCTGGTGGTAGCTGCAATCTCGGGGCAGGATGTGACGGTAGGGATGGGTCTATACTAGTTAAACTCGACATGCCTGGAAACATTCCTGGGCATTGAGGCCAACTGGCACAGAAAGACCGGAGTTTATGCTTGCAAATTGCCTATTGGGACCACTCTAGCAACCAAATTGGGTCCAGAAATTGTTTGCAGAGAGTGTTAATTGGAAGAGGTCAAATTTACGCCAGGGAGCATTTTAACAGTTTAATAGCAAAGACAATCTCATTCTAGTGCCTGGAAATATTCACAGGCGCATCCGATTTTACTAGTATTTACACAGTCTATGGGTAGTTTCATAGCAGCTCAAGCTGAATTATGTCAAGCCTACCTTTGCTCTGCCCTTGTGTTCCCACCCCTTCGCTCCTACCAGTACTCATGTCCAAACAAACAGTGAGCTGATTCAAACTGGTCCAGTTAAAACCCAGTCACCTTCTGTGGGGAAGGTGGCAGGCTACTTTGCACCTGGGTGGGTCCCTTGAACTGTGCGGCTGCCCAGTCCGGAGTGAGTGCCGAGGAAAGACAGGCAGGGTTGGCAGGAAAGGTGGGAATACGTTAGGCTGAATTTAGCCCAGCTTAAGCTGCTGTGGAACTGCATCTTAATGTTTCTATTTACAACAACATTCCTAAGTCTCCTTCAACTGCTTTCTATACCTTGGAGCGTCCTTTGTAAGGCATTTGTTCAGCTACAGCAATTTCCTGTGGCATGAAAAAAGCATCCATTAGATTATGTTCCCTCAGCTGGTGAAGACGCAACTCTGTGAGGACACTGTCTGTAACTACGTAAGGTCACAAAGAAGTGGACTCAAAATGTTTGCTCATACTAAGAAAAAAATCCTCCTGTAAGTGCCATCCAAAACATCTGATTTCCCTGTTTTTAATTTACATTTGTGTACATGTTCTTTAATATTGTTGCTATCTCTACAGCCTTGCGGAGCTCCAAAACCCAGTGCTTTCCCTTTCCACATAGAAGGTCACTTTGTAGCTCTAACTAGCACCTGGTAATATATCAATGCTTCAAAGCACGTGCTCAAAGGACTTGGTGGCAGTCCTTCAGCCACCAAAGTGTATCAGACACCAGCAGCGTCCCAGCTTAAGGACCAGCCAGCTGAACAGCTGGCAATTAGCAAATGCTTACTCTTAGATTCAAGATATCAAACTTTTTAGTGTAGAGAGAATGAATAATATTGCCTACATAAAACTTACAAATTCTGTTTGATATTATCAGCTCCCCATTTGCTTGTGTGGTAATATTTTATATAGGTGTTGGCAAGGACAGCATGACTGGAGGCTAAGTGCCTGCCTCTGAATGGGATGGCTGCCAAAGACTGAGTAAGGTCTTACCTGAATAAAATAACTAAGTTTCTGCAAATTATTAAGAACAGACCTCCCCAGATTGTCTGGAGAGAGCAGAGAAAGAAAAGAGAATAGCAGAACAAACAACAACAAAAACACACATAAAAAAAAAAAGAGAAAATTCAAGGTCAGTTTTGATTTTTAAAAACTCACACAATGAGAAGCTCACAAGACTGGACAGAGCAGGAATAAAAAACTCACTGACAGGAGGTTAAGAGAGGTCCAGGAAGGGAGACAGCACATAGCAAGAGTAGATCTTGGGCAAGGCAAGAAAACCCAGGCAGGAAGTTGATTCTTGTTTTGAAACGTCACCCAATATCTTGTGTAGTATCTAAAGGTAAGTTGACCAGGAAATTCCTCTACTAATTTAATGCTTTATTGGCTTTAACTATCACACATGTTAGAAGAGCCAAATCACAACCTGGAGTAGCCACACAGATGTGGGGAGGATGTGTAAAAGTCTTTGGGGTCCTGGCATTGCTTGGTTTGACTTCTTTACAAGGTTTGTAAGACCGAGACTTGTTTCGTTCACCCAAATTAGAGGCATCAATTCAATGAGATGTAACAAAAAGATAGTTTATAGTACAGACAGAATACAATTATTATTGTTTTCATCAGCTACTACATACTCATTTTGCAGCAAATCCTGGTCTCAGTTAAATCAAGGTTACGGTTTTATAATGACACATCAGAACAGAAAAGAGCTGTTTATCTTTCAGTATGGGCAATGCTGAACAATGCAAGCCTGTTGTTCTTTAAAAGATAATAAAATTTGTATAGGATAAAAACTTTAGTGCATTTTCCCCCATACCTGGCACTTACAATACACAAAGATAGTGCAGGAAGATAGTCTGTTCATCCAATCAACCTTTAACAAATTCACTGGCAAGTAACAAACATTGAATATTGAGGTACAGAAAGAAAGCAAGCTAATGTTGGGGACAGGGATAAGAGATAAACTAAAAAACATTAGACTCAAGTTGTATTTCATTAATAATAGTAGGGGGTTTTTATCTAGAACAATGCTGTATCTTTTCTGGCACACTGAGTTGAATCCACAATTCAGCCTGGGGATGGGTCTCTAAAGGTTCCAGAATGGGAAGTGTTTGCCTACAGAAGCATGCCTCACCATTGGCTCATTCAAATCTAAAAATTACTTCATTTTAGAAAAAATACCAGCCTCTCCTTCAAATAGGGTATGAACTGATGTAGCAGAATTACACATACAGGGAGACCAGCCCAAGGGAAAACAACAATTAGTTCATTTTGTGCTAGACAAAACCTGGAAGAGGAGGCATGTTAGCTCCAGTGAAAGCTTATCAGTCAACGTAAGAGATCAGTATGTCCCAAGCTCATCAGAGCAAGGAAAATCTCTTTTAATTAGGAGCTGGAGACCTATCCATATGGAGGAGAAATTCTTGTAAGTCATCTCTTGGCCTCACACACAACCCAGCTCTTAATTCCCAATGCTCTTCTCATACCCACTCTCACCCTGAAAGCCTGGAAGAATACAGAGCAATTTAAAGTCTGAATGTCCCACAGGCTGAGACAGTTCTCAGAATATTTACAAAGGTGGGGAGAAGTGTCTCCTGCACTTCGGAAAACATTTTTCTCTTCTTGCCCTTCACCAGAGAGTTCTGTGGGACTGGAAGCAGTGAGGTGGGGTCTCCTTTCTCTGCATCATATACAGTGGCATTCACCTCCTCAATGCATCTGTAAGAGGCAAAGGACTATGCTCATTAGGTCAGAGACAGGTTGCTTTACATTTGAAACATCTGGTGACTTTATTCTCTCCCTGGTTGGCTTCCAAATCAAACCTGCCTAGAAAGCTCCTGGCTATCTCTAATGGGGAATCAAAGCAGACTTTAAAAGTTTTGGTCAAACTTTTTAACCTGAAAGATAGCAACTGAAGAATATGCAAAGGTGTACAGAATGAGTGGTTAAAATACTTTTCTCCCAAAGAAGACATGTTCTGTAGCTGTACAGTCAAGTGCTTCCGGACTCTTGGGCCAGCAGAAATGGAAGGCATTCTCTTTGGAAAAAGTCTACCCAGAAATACTCAGCAGCCTGACAGACCCAGTTCCAAAGAACAGCAATGACAGATGTTGCAGAGATGACTGTCAATTAGCTAAGCAATGAAACTTGAAAAAAAGTTTCCAAGCTTGAAAAACTTAGATTTGTCTCTAAGGAGCTAGAGGTGATTTGAGTAGCCACATAGCCGTGTGAATGTCCTGCAAACAGGGCAATCCAGCACAGTCAGAAACCACACACAAATACCGCAATGATACTGGCAGGACTGTCCTATCTATACCTTTGCTGCAGCATAGGTCCTGGCAATACTTTAGGGAGAGCTGGCAAAAACATTTAAAGAGGAAGCAACAATCCCTAAAGAGCAGTTGTATTTAATGGGGAAATTCGCAGTGATGGTGAATGTGACTAACCAGTAATTTTTACCTTCTTTTTTTACTTGAAATTTTTTCTAGCTATAAACCAATAGTATTACCTATCAAATCACTGTGTAAAATAAATAAATGTATCTGGATTTATACATTTTAAATGCCAGTTGATACTATTTTCTATCTCTTTGTTAATCAGCATGGTGAGAGATAG